CACAGCCAATCTAGAATCTAGGCTCCTCAGTTCCCTTGGCATTCCAAGGTGCAACAATTACACCAACTACTTCATTTGTCATAATTTGAAAAGCCCAACTCTGTGATCACTGTTAACTGAAGAATAGCCATTCAATCTTACTTATTTATCATGAAGAGTCACTCATCCCTAGTTATCCATTCCTTGGACTAGAAATGATTTCATGAGGGTTTCTCACTACTATTCGTTTGCATGTGTAGAATTCATCCCATGACTGTGAGCAAAGAATGGATTTCATTGAGAATTCAATTTTAACTGGGATGGTATTTTTACCTTCACCTTGACAGCCCGAGTCTTGTCTGTGAAACAGCTCCCTGAAAACATTGAACACTGTTCAATGTTTGTACAGCCCCACAATCCATCCCTGACTCTCCCAGCCTTGCCCTTCATACTTCCATTCACATTTAGATTTTATTTTTCTTTGCCTAAGAAGAAGAGATTTATTATCAGAAGCCATCAGGCTCCAGTGTTTCTGTAAGAACGTCTAGTCTGCTCATGTGCACAGGCTGCAGGTTGCTAAACTGGTCATTTTGCAGAGTACTGCCTAAAGGGGTTCAGCAACCCTCAAGTTGCCTACATGCATCAACCTGTGAGCTCATGTGGCTTCTGAAACAGCTCAGGGGCTGTGATGGGAAAAAAGAGAGCAGGACTCACTGAGGCATTTGTACAGTGCTTATTTATGGATCATGATAGATAAAGCCAGAGACTGGGTTATGTCAGCCATGGCGACTGATACACTACTTTCCGACACAGTCATGTCCCTGAACACAGGGAGCTCCTATGGCGATGACGGATCTCTCCACCAAGATCCTGATTCTTCTTTTCCTTAGTGTTCCTCAACTATGGAGATGGTCCACTTACCCTCACTTTGAACCCAAATCTTCCAGAGGTTAAGTCACTGATAACAGCAAAGCCAATGCTCAGATTTGGGCTGTCTCAGCTCAAGGCTGATGACTGCATTCTGGCTTCTTTCCAAACCCTGTGATCTCATGTCAAGCCCCACCAATTCAAGCTCTCCTTTCCAGTTTCCCACATCCATAGTTTGATTTACAAAAGGTGGCTGATCGAATGTACAACTGATACCAAAAGCCTGAAGTAAATTATTGTAAGGATTTCACCTTCATAAGAGGCACAACAGAGACGCTGGGGAAGACCTCGTGGCTGTGGTGTGGGCGAGGTGTTTGAAAAGGGGGTGATAGGGGGCTCAGAGATAATCCAGGAATTTCCAAGGACTAGCCTGACTCAGTAAGTCTGTTATTGAAAATGAGTCATTTGTGGCATCAGGGCAAGCTGTCTCAGTCCCTCACTGAACTATCGGGAAGAAGCAGCAAGCCCCCCCCCCCCCCCCACCCAGAGAAGAATCCTAATAATAATTTCTAGAGAATTTGCATGTCTTGCAAATCATTTTTAGTCGGTCCCCACCACACACCTTTAGCAGTATTGTTTACTGAACTAATCGCCAAGTAATCGCAAGAGTCCAGCTAGGGGGACTCTGACGTTACCTAGATTGGTGGGTCCCCCCCCCCCCGGCTTTTTTAAGAGTAAAATTTTTATCAAAGTGAACTCTCCCATGGTATGGTAATTTATAAAATAAAAATGACCATGTGGAATTTTTATTGTAGAATGAGAACAAGGGAGGAACTGTGAATCCTCAGCTCTGGACTCTGTGTCCTTTTCTGAGGCACTCCCAAAGGAACCCCTGGGTTCCACAAAACCAAACAGCATTCCTGGTGGTTACCTATTTCCCTCTCCCACCTCCAAAGAGAAACAGACAAAAATCATTTGCCATCCACAGTTCACCAACCCACTAGGATGTTTATCTCAAATGGCCGAGTCTTTAGAATTTGAAGTAAATGGTCTCTGGGTCACAAACAGCAGGGTGGCCAGCTCTTTCCAGTTACTGGAAGATTCCAAAGTGTCCGGTATTCACATGAGGCCAAGAGGTACCTTCTTCATCTTAGAAAGGCAGATCCTTGAGTCATACCTTGCAACCACAGACTGGCTAGGTAATAGGTTCAGTGAGTTTGCAGCCCCATCATTGTCTCTGAAAATGCTGGTGTAAGGCTCTAACTGAAAACCTACAAGGAAGTTGTGAAGGGGCCATAATACTGTGAATTAACTATATGTCATCTAACTGAACTTGCATGTGGATAAACAGTACATTTTTCATATAAAATCATTTTTAAAACTTATGATGGATCTTGGTTTTCTACAGGATCAAGTTCCTTGCCATCTACAACATGGCCCTGCAGTCTTCTCTAGTCATCTGTCTGGCTGTCCGCTTTCAGTCCTTTCATCTGCTCTAATATTCAAGCTGGTCCTCCCCCTCCTCTCTCTGTGTGTGCTTATGTGTGTGCGTGCATGTATACAAATATACATGCATAGAAATATCCAGTGTTTAAGAGATGCAGGACTTTAAAAGCCATTCCCTGCTCACCAATTCTACAAAGCAGATACTATTATTCAGCCCACTTTACACTTGGGGAAATGGAGGCACTAAAATCTCATTGCCTGTCTTGAGACCCTAAAGTAGTAAGCAACCAAACAGAACTTAGAGATAGGTATTCTAGTCTTGACTCCAAGATACTTCTTGACAGAACTCCCTTGACATGTCCCTTCAGTTTCTTAAGAATTCCTTCTCTTTTGTACCTGGCTCAAGTATCACCTCTCTTGGGGTGTCTTACTTGTGTTTCCAAGAAAATACTGTGATTTTTTTCTTCATATTGCAGGACTGTTGGCATCCCAAACACACATACACACACACACACACACACACACACACACACACACACACAAGCTTCATATTAAACCTTCCGATGATGAGTTCTCTTATTTAAAATTACTTAATATTTGCATATAACCCATACATATTCTTCTAATCACTGCTAGATAACTTGTAGTACTTAACACAATAGAATAATGTGTATTGTGTATGTGATGCATAGATGTTAACCCGTGTTGTTCACAAAATAATGAAAATCAAAAAGCTTACAGATACTCAGAAAAATGCAATTCTTATGAATATTTTTAATCTATAAATGCAAAAGGCTGGCTGAATTATTTTCTAAACACTTAATAGTTATTAAGTGTGTGTGTGTGTGTGTGTGTGTGTGTGTGTGTGTGTGTTTGTAGATTTATGCCATGGCGTGCATGTGAAGGGTGGAGGACTATTTGTGTGAGTTACCATGTGAGTTCCTAAGACTGAACTTGGGTCACATGCTTGGTGGCAAGCACATTGCCACCGAGCCCTCTTGCCAGTTCTGGCTCTATTTTACAGTATATTTCATGTTGTAAGCAGCAACTGGCTTTTGACTGTAAACTAGTGCCTGGAGACAAATTAGGTTCGGCTTATCTTGATATCTTTGGGCAATCATTACATGTTTTATAAATAAATGGATGGACAGGTAGCTGGGTGCATTTCTCTTACTTTTTCACTTTCTTTGAATAAATTCCAAAATATCACTTTCCCTCAGAAATTCTGGCATGATTCCTTCAGGGTCTGGCCACAGGCATGTTTTCCATGTATCTCATTCAGCAAGAAGTCCGCTCACATTCACTTGTAGTAGTTCACATTAAAAATAAACACGGCTTTTTGATGTCCTAGTTGTGACTCACAGTGTATGAGAGAAGTAGGGAATTGTGATTTAAAATATGACTTCCCCCTGTTTTCAGCCTTGAAATGTCTCCCTTGAAGAATATGGTAATGCACACCTCTTTGATATTTCTCAGGTAAGAAATAAATGGCAGTGTATTGAAGTTTGCAGCGAAGGGAGCATAAATGCAAACAAGAAAGAAGTGACAAATGTGTAAGTGGATATGAAGCTGGATAAAATGATGGAACGGAAATGTGATCAGCATGCTGGAGGATGGATGGGGAAGGTGGTGGAAGAGGTGAGCTTAGGAGAACTGTAAACAGAATTTCTGGAGTGGTGGATGAAAAGTTGTACAGATAGACAAATGTAAGACTTGGTGGTGGATAGAGTATGACTAGGTTAGTGCATATATAGGAAGATGGGTGGACAGGAGAATGGATGGAGGGATGTGTGAAACCCAGAAGGATTTAAAGAATTGGTAGATGGATTAGTAGATAACTGAGATCATGAATGAAGTGTGTTCGTGGGTGGGTCCTAGGATAGAGGTGCCATCCTGAGATAGGAGGCTGACAAGCATGACAGCACGGGCTGGTAGAGTCAGATATGTCCTCCATAGAGTCAGGTATGATCCCTATAGAGTCAGATATGTCCCCCATAGAGTCAGGTATGACCCCTATAGAGTCAGATATGACATCCATAGAGTCTGGTATGACCTCCCCAAAGAGTCAGATGTGACCCATAGAGTAAGATATGATCCCTATAGAGTCAGGTATGACCCCCACAGAGTCAGGTATGACCCCCATATAGTCAGCTATGACCCCCACAGAGTCAGGTATGACCCCCATATAGTCAGATATGACCTCCACAGAGTCAGGTATGACCCCCTTAGCATCAGATATGACCCCATAGCTGGTCATCACTAGGTTTCCATGAGCAAGGAGCCACTGAGCATTTTGGCCTTCTCTCAGAGGGAAAGAGGAATAGACACTCCCACAAATTCCCCACTTTTCAATCCTCCCTCCCAGCAGGATCTCCCTCTTGTCTCAGCTCCTCCCTAGGAGATGTCCGGCTTCCTGGGAAACCCAGACAGTCATTCCCCAGCCAGGTTCCCAGAAGTTTAGTGGCAAAGAAGAGGCCTGAGGCTGAACTCAGAGGGGTGAGGTCACAGACTCAGTCATTCTCCTTGTCCCAGGCAAGGCTCCCCAAAGGCAGAAGGGCTGGCCAGAGAAGGAAGCCTGTGGAATGACCCGGGGGATGGGACGTGGGCAGACGGGGGCGGCAGCAATTCTCAGCTGCCGGGGAGAGCAGGGCAGGGTCTCAGGGTCAGCAGTGTAAGCAGGCTGGTGTATCTTTAAACCACCGTTGGCTGCTTAGTCACAGCCCCCTCGCTTTGGGTGTGTCCTTCGCGCGCTCCCTCCCTCTTAGGTCACTCTTTCAAAGCCTGGAATAAAAACGGCAGCCAACTTCCGAGGCGGCCTCATTGCCCAGCGGCCCCCAGCCTGTGACAGGTTCCATCCATCCTCCTTGCCCCTGCTCCCTGCGACCCTTTTTAAGAGGCGACTAGATTCCTCGGTTCTATGCCGCACACCATGGACAAGTTTTGGTGGCACGCAGCTTGGGGACTCTGCCTCTTGCCGCTGAGCCTGGCGCAGCAGCAGATCGGTGAGTGGCCCTAGCCTGGGCAGCAGGATGCGAACGCGGTGTGCCCACTCCAGCAGAATGCCCCTGGGTTGAACCCCCGGGGAGGGAATGCAGTGAAGTGGGCTCAGCAAAGCAAAGCTGGGGCTTGGGGGCTACGCAGTTGCTGAGAGTCGGTTCTTGGGATGCGCCGCTTTGGTGAAAAGAAAAGAGAAAGGGAGAAGAAAGTTGGCTGGGCAGGTTGCCCGCCGCAGATTTTGGGCGAGGTCGCTGGCGCTTGCCGGAGCACATGGCGCAAAAGTAACTGTACTCTTGGATGCAGGCAGTCGGTGTCCGGACTAACAGGCTCGGGTGCCCAAGGGCTCCTCAAGCAGGGCTGGGCTTCTCGTGGGTGTCAGGGCAGAGCCAGGGACTGGGGCAGAGCAGGAGCGGGGACCTGTAGAACAGTAGCAAGGTGGCCACAGAGTTGTAAGTCAGAGAGCCAGCAATGGCAATGAGCTTTTCAGAAAGGAGCCCCAGAAAGCTGGAGAGAGAGCCTGGGCTTAGACTGGTTTTCAAGGCTCTTACAGTCTGCTTTGGTCACCAACTGCTTTAGCTTATGGGAGCTTGAACCGGTGCTGTGTTCCGGTTCTGAGCCCCCAAGAGATTCCAGGCTGGGCCAAGGAGGACACATAACAGAAGCAATGATTAGACCAGCTGTCTAGTGCTTATGGTCCCCTGGTTCTGCCAGTCTGGGCAAAATCAGAAAGCACACGGTTCATATTCACTGTCTGGCATCTTCAGAGCAAGAGGGGACCTGTATCAGGGTTACACACGAACTTTAGTGTGGAGTCCTTAATAAAGTTGGTGACTTAGGTGGCTGTGGAGAGGAGGAACTGAGGCCAAGTATCCAGTATGGCTCAATTCCAAGCATTCCCTTCCTTTGTCTACATATGAACAGATAATTTCATGAACGCTTTGTTTAGCACCAGCACAAGTTAATGTTTGTTTTTTGTTTTTAAGAAGTGTCAGGTCATTAAGTCAGCTCAACCTACAGTGAGTTCCTCTCAGCAAGAGATAAAAAAATTTGAATTCTGATGCAGAAGTAATACAAATAATAATAATAGCAACATGACTCTATTGGCCGTTTATCTATGCCCCTTTGCTGTGCCAGGATCTCTGTCAGGTATTTCACATATGCCATCACATTTTATCCTTGTGGTGATTTGGTGAGAAGTGTTCAGTTATCAAGGTTTTTGTTGTTGCTGGCTTGTGTTTTTGTTTGTTTGTTTGTTTTGTGTGTGTGGAGAGAAACAGGCTCAGATATGTTAGGTGACTTCTCATATTCACACAGCAAGGAGTGCTGCTGGGTATGAACTTGGGTTCATTAAATTCCATAGCTTAGACTGTCATGGGGTATCTGAACACATGTTCTCGACAAAGCCAGAAGGCTTTGGGAAAGAGGTCTTCTGGCCAGCTAAAGCTACAGTGGAGGCTTCCAAAGGGAACCAGAGCTCCAAAGGGCCCTTGGAAGTCAGAAACCGTATGGATGGGTGGGGGAAGGGCAGGTACAGCCCTGGGCTTGGCCTCCAAGGAGAGGAGAAAAATTGGACACCCACACCTTTTGCGGTGGCTGAGGAGCTGAGCTCCTGTATTTTCCTAGCTTGCCTTCCGGTTGCTCATAAAAGCCTACTCCCAGGTCCTTGGATCCCTTGTGACCCTGGGAGTCAGGTCCTAGAGACCAGCAGGCTCTCTCCTGCCTTGGGGTTTTTACCTTCCTGTTGCATACTGTGGGGGTCCATAGTAGTGACCGCATGGGCCTGGTTTTCATACCCTTGTAAAGTTGTTGGTAAGGAACCGAGACTCGGAAATGAGATGTGACTTAGAGGATGTGGGTCTGGGTAGACAGAGCAGAGGAGAAAGGGCGGGGCCGGGCGGGGCGGAGAAGGGAGGCATCCTAGTTGCCCCATTCTGGTAGTGGCTGGCTTTGGGAGATGAGGAAGCTTTGAGATTGGGCAAAAGTTTTGCTGGGCGGGGGTGGAGTGACAGGAGAAACTGTTCAGTGTTGTATCAGAAGTCAAAAAGTAGAAATGGTCCTGAGGTAACCCAGCGACCCCCAGGTACCCTGTACAGCGGAGGAGAAAGGGGCCCTGGGCAGTAGTCTCCATGTGCGCATGTCCTTTCCTCCACGATCAGAGAACATTGCTACGAAATTGCACCTCTGTTGTTGAGAAAGAGGGGTGCATTTGAGAATCTTGGGGCTTAGGGGCCGCAGGTGTCTCTGTACTCACTCAGATCATTCTGGATACTTCTTCCCATTGGCAGTTAGAGCTCTAGCTGAGTCTTCCCGTGTGAAGAAATAAGGACATGAGTCCCATCCCCACCGAAGTTAGACTCGATTCATTCTGTTATTCCCCTGCTCACATAGGACGTTTACTTCCTTCCAAAGCCGTGATGAGCTGATGCGCTGGGGACTCTGGCAATGAGGGAAAAAGTTTCTGTTCTCTGTCAACTTCCCCCCACACAGGAGGGGACGCTGGACCACATGAAATTCCTGGTCTATGACAGATCTCCTTCCACTCATTCCAGAAAAATTTCCTGATTCACTGTCATAGACTCAGAGATGGGGACTTTAAAGATCATTTAAGAAAAAAAAACCATTCTTTTTCTCAAGAGGAAACAGAACATGGGAGACAAGGATTGGTGACTTCCCCACTCTGTTAGAGTGTGAGGACATCCCTGAAACACCCCAGTCTCTGGAGGACTGTGGGAGTCCCACGCTCTCCCCTGCAGTGGTAAGGAGGGTGAGGTGAATTCGGGATGTGGCATAGCAAAGTTTTAGCATCCTCAGTACTACATTACACACTCACCTCAGTTCTGTATTTTATGGCCCAATATACTGTTTGAGTTTAAGAATCATGATCACTGTATCTTTCCCTAAAGGAAATTGGTGCTCAAGACAGATCCATCTTGTTTTAGAGCTTCTGATACCTCCTGAATATCACTGAAAAGTTAGGAGCACCCCATTTTAAAACCCTGGCATGTTGCTATTGCCACTCAACATGTGAAATCCGTAAGAAGCACCCACTGCTCAGATCAGTTGGATTTAGTGATACGTTTTCCTCCATAGCCTTGCAACAGTCATACACATTAGTACTTTCCTAACACCACTTTCTTGACAAAGAAATAGAGGCTCAGATATAATGGGACTCACCCAAGGACACAGGGGTAGAGTTGGAGTGCCCCATCATTTAACATCACCCCACCAGTGCTTTTGGAGGATTCTGGAAATACTGTGATGTTTCTCATTGTTCCTGTCCCCTATAGTCAGCAAAGTGATTATGAAGGGCTTTCCTTGCCACCCTTAAGCAGACTGTGTTCTTGGATAGTTTGTCCCTTTCCCTGGGCTCGGTCACAGCTGTCAGAGATGCCAACTTAGTTATTTACTGCTGGAATAAGCCAGTTCCTTTATCAGAGTCCAGTTGCCCCTTTAGACATGCCCTCATTTGTAGGTTTGGCAAAAAGGGAGAGGCTTCCCCTTGCCTAAGAGACAAGTCAGGGCAATACTCTCTGCCTGCAAATTAAGAAAGGGCCCACAGACACTCCCATGCTTCCCTCACAGGCATTTCAGATGCAATGACCCATAGAGAACCGCTGCTACGTACTCTTTGGACAGTTATATATTTCCTATTTGAGAGGGAGTCTTGAAATCCCAGGCCATGGGTTGGCATAGCTTTCTACAGAAGCCATGGATCTTGAACCACAATCCACTGAGAACCCCCAGAAGACACGAGGCCACCGAAGTGTGTAGACTCCACTCCACTAATGAACAGGAGGCCACGTGAGGAGAGACGGCTTCCCCTGTAGTCTGTCCTGAGACAAGGTGGGATCTGCAGTTGTGTTTCATCAGTGCCTCCATTTTAGCAACCCCACCCCGAGCGTGAGAGGGAAATGATTCTTGTGAAAGAGTGATCTGAAGCAGGTGCAGCTACTTCCTGGCCCCGTGGACTTTTCAAAGGGGATCTTCTCTACTTCAGAGAGAAATTCTTGGGGTTTGCACAACAAGAAGCTGATGACTCAATTTTCTCTGTGCCTCTGCTTGAACTGGGACACAAGCATTTTTTTAAAGAAGGGCCTTAAATTTGAGTCCTACTTTTTACTTACTCCTCAGGTTGGAAATTTTCTTCAACATAGACTCCTGGGGCTAGTATGGAACTCAGTGACAGAGTATTTTCCTAGCATGCATGAAGTCCTGAACTCAGTCTTCAGAACTAAAAAAAAAAAAAAAACAAAATAAACCAACCAACCAACCAAACAAACAAACCCATAGGAGCTCCAAACTGGCCATCAAGGGTTTGGGGAGGCAGGGCCTTTAGGAAGGAATGGGAAAAATGTCTCTGCTATTGGCCTTTTGGCAGTCCCATGGATCCCCATGATGTCAAGGATTATATTTCAACCATTTTTGTGGCCCAAGACCCCAGTGTTGACCCAAAATGAGGACCACAAATGTTGAACTGAAATAATGTCTCAAGTAGAAAACTAAGAGTTTTCATGTATGGAGGCATGCTGACCCACACAGTGAATATGCAAATATGTCTATGTGTATCTGGCAGCATGTTTTAGTATATGTGCTGCCGAAGCGAGCACCATGACAGCATGTTGATGACTTTGTTGTTACTCTACACATTGTGAGGAGAAGGCTTGACTGTCCAACTGCTTACAGTAGGGCTTATATGTCCTCATTCCAAGCAGAGAGTTTGTCTGTCTGTGGTTTTGGTGGCTACTGGCCATGGGGCTGGTCTAAGGAGAGGGTTAGTGAATGGCTGAGTGAGAAGGGAGTAGGATGCTGATACCAAACCCACATTTAGACCTCAAAATCAAACACTGTCCAGTAATGGCTGGCTTTGTGAGCTGATGGTCTGAGACACGAGTCCTTGGGGGAAGCGGCCCACACAACCGCTGATCCACACTTGCTTCTGGCAGGTGACAGCAGCAGGGGGAGAATCAGAAGCACTTCCCAGAAGGTTCTGGTATTTTCTGTGGTC